AGGTATATAAAGTTAGTATCTGTTTGGATTTTGGTTAGATCTTGTAGTAGGGTTGGTTTAGTGATAAAGTAGTTATTAGGTATTATTTTGAATATATAATATTTGCGTAAAAGGTGACAATAGTGGTAATATTAGTGTTGAGATTACTTGTGTTGAGTAGAAAGAGTGTGCGGACTGAGTAGTTGAGCTCATAATAGGTACTAGGTAGTTGAAGTTTGAGAGGAGAAAGGTCAAAATATGAGTCGAGTAGATTGCCTTTGAAGTTGTAGAAGTTATGAAGTTTGTTGTGATAAAAGGAGAGGTAGTTAAGGTTTTTTCATTTGTAATTGGGAAGAAGTTTTTTAGTTCCTCGTTAAGGTCTATAGGGTTGCTAGAGAGTAGAGGTAGTTTGATAAGTAGCTGCTGGGTAATTGTAAGAAAGAGTAAATTTTTCTAAGTGCTATGATCATTCCTTTAGTATTGTTATGATTAGTAATTAGAAGTTCAAAAGGGTGTAATCTTTGTATTTGTTCTGTTATTAAGGAAGTGTCTTCTAGTAGTGAGACAAGTAGAAATAGTTGGGCTTTGTTAATTGCTTATTTGAGTTCATTCTATTTAATTTTGTCTAGTTATATAAATCCTCTGCAATATTGAATAATTTTAGCTATATAGAAGAGACTTAAGCATGTAAGGTTAGTATTAAGCAAGTATTGAATAGCTATATAGATTTTGAGCATTTTTAGAATAGTATTTCTGGTTTCTCGATTAAGAATTGTGATATTGTAGATATGTTTGTAGTTATTAGTTGCTATTGTAAGCATTTCTTTGAATTGTATATGATGTGCAAGAGTAGTCTGTTTATTGTGAGTAAAAGAGATAAAAAATTGAGTATTTAAGTATTTGAATTTTAGTATTATAGCTAGTGGAATATTGTGTGGGATGAGTTTGGTTTGTAGTTTGTAAGTGACAAATTCTTGAATACTTTCTGCAAATTCAAGTGCATTGATAATGCAGTTGTAGTGCCAAGTAGATATATTAAAGCTATCATGTTCAGAGTTTATATTATCTATGAGTTTGTTTAGCTATGTTTCACTAATATTATAGCTATCATTAAAGAAATTTGTGTTTGAGAAAGAGTTGTTTTGGAGTGTTTGGCTATAGAAGAGTTTGGTGTTAATATTTTCAGATTCTGAGCTGTTCGAGTATGGGTTATATAAATATTCCTCTAGTTCATTTTCATTCATATATATATCATATGTTTTGTAAGATGCAGGAGATGCTGATTGACTAGCTTGTGTTTTTAAAGGTGTGGGTGATGTTAGTGTATTATATGTAACTTCTTCCATTTGGTCTGCTCATAATTGGTTTTAGTGATCTGTTGTACTATAGTCTTCTGATACTGTTTGTGTATAGAGGTTTGTGTTATGAGTGTTAGAGTTGTTAGTTGTTTTGAAGTTGTGTTCAGTTGTTGAATGAGTAGTATTCTGTTGTGTATCATTAGTATCTATTGATATTGTATCACTAATTTCCAGTGAGAGTACATAGGTATTGGGCATAGTTGTTGTTGGAGTAGTATTGAGAAAGGCAGCAGCATCATAGGGAATTATGGGAAGTGTGGAATTTTGTTTATGAGCATTCATCGCCAGGTAGTTAGTTTTGTTATTCTGATAGGTTTGGATAAGTGATGAAGATTAGATGATATTAGTTGTAATTTGTATAGTAGTAATGTTTATGGCATTGTTGGGAAGTTTTGTTAGAGTAAAGAGGAGAGCGAAGTCACTGTTGGTAGCATGGTCAATTCAGTATTTTGGATAGAGAATTATGTTGTTTATAATAGTTGTTTTTGTGCAGTCTATGGTGTAAAGCTGTTGCTAGTCATAAGAAGTAGGAATAATAAAGGTAACTCTATAAGTTAGTTCATTTGCATTGATGATAGTCAAGTCAAGGATTTCTTTGAGGTGTTCAAATTGTGTAGGGATAGGTTCTGGAGTTGACGTATTTGTTGACATCATCACATCTTTGTTGTTGTTGTTGAGTGTGTTGTTGTTTTTGAGAGGAGCGATATTGATGTTGTTTTTAGAGAGGCAACACCTCTTTTTAGTTTTTTCTGTGTCTTTCAGCATGATGAAATTACTGTTTGAAGTAATAGTTGTTAGTTTGTTTGTTGGTAGCAGTTTTCTTTTACTTAGAGTTCTTCCCAGAGAAAAGTTTTCTTTGTTTTTATTGTTTTTTTTTTTTCTATTTTGGTGCAGTATAGTGAAGTGAGTTACGGGAAAGAGTTTTTTTTTTTTTTTTTATAATCATATAATTTTTATTTCAATTACTAAAATATTTAAGATATGGATTAAAAAAGTTTTGGACATGCCAAAATGCATAATATTGATATAAAGTGCCCAGCATTGATTTTTTTATTAATTAAAATTTTGAATAATTATGCGCATTTTTAAAACGAATAATAAAAGCATGTTCACATATCATTTTATATCACAATTTCTTTTACAAATTTCATAATAATCACAAATCAAATACAGTACGTACGTATAAATTTTGCACAATTTGAAATTATCACTTCACACAAAGTGCGTTTTAAAATGGGTCCGTATTAGAGATGCAGAAGAATCGTCCCAATGATTGTCGTAAACTGAGTTTAAATTTCTAACTTGCCGTAACTATAGTAAATACTATAGTAATATACGGCATTATAGCCGTATATTACTATATTATTTACTATAGTTACGGCAGGTTAGAAATTTAAACTCAGTTTACGACAATCATTGGGACGATTCTTCTGCATCTCTAGTCCGTATGAAAGGAGTATCGATGAAATAAGTGCCACCCTTTTAAAATTGGACACTTTGTATAATGTAGATGAAACTTACATATTAAAGGTGAAAACGAAATTTATCTAAAATACAATACCATACCAAAAAACAATACTTTCCGCTATATTTAATGGTAGCAGACAAAAAAAAAAAAAAAAAAAAAAAAAAAAAAAAAGTTTTGTGATCTTATTAAAGCAAGTTGAGAAGAGAGTGATGCATACTTGTGGCTGATATTTACCGAAAGTTTTTTGAAAAAGATTTAAAAGTTTGCATTAGTGAAAAACCCGTGGTATGAAAACAGCCGAAATCAAACGAATCGGACAATCAGGTATAATGAAAATAGCTGAATCACATAAATTCTAGGACACCTAAAAAAATTTCTCTTTCCCGAAATCTTCTCGATTTCGTTCTAAAAATTGCTCAACTTTTCGGAAACTACGTCGCTATCTTTGGATTGAAATTCTGAGAACAGAGACGTAGTTTCCGAAAAAGTTAGATGATTCTTAAGACGGGATCGAGAAGATTTCGGAAAAGATAAATTTTTTTTAAGTGTCCCAGAATTACAGCTGTTATCATTATTTCTGGGACACTTGATAATTTTTGCTCGCTACCGAATCATTCTCAGTTTCATCCGGTAAATTGTCTAATCTCTTGGAACTATGTCGTTGATAAAATACCAGATATATATCTTTTAATACACAGTTAGTATTCTGAACATTTCTACAGTGTTAAAACATTCAACATTAAGTTTTCGCTTAAATGCATATCCACTATTTAATATGACGAAAATTTATGGCAAAGATTGTTCTTGCCAACCAATTGACATAAAAAAAGGTTCTGAATACAAGATAAGATTTCATAATAAATATATTACAAGAATAGACGCTAATAAAAAAAGGTTTGATATAATCAGGAATACATCAATTGGATTAAAAAAAAAATATATATCTCGGTATAATTCCAAATAATCAAGATTTTATTAATATTTATCGGAACTGCATTAATAATTATAATCAACGAAATCAAAGTAAAAATTTATATAACATTATTTTATTTTCGATTTTTGTTAGCTTATTTATCGGTATTAGCCGAGTGATTTCGGCATAATTGGTATATACTGTAAAAAGATATTCTTGTAAGTATACTCACTAAGTTTTCATTTGAATGTTTTGTATGAAAACTTATGGCAAAGACTGTCCTTTATCAACCAATTGACAATAAAAAAAATAAAAAATAAAAAATTTCAGAAAATAATATAAGATAGACTTTTATATTAAATATATTGCACAAATAAGTGATGATAACAAAAATTTGATTTGATATTGAATTTAAAATAATGTAACTCAATTGATAAGCCTTCCAAGTTTTTTTCGACTGTTTTTCAAAGAAAATATCATATTTACCGTAACAGATTATAATAATACTAAAAGATAAATAAAATATCGATAGACTAATAGTAATAATCTCCATTATAGCAACATTATTTACGTTTAACAAAAAGCAGTGACGAATTTCGTCACTACCTAAAATTTATACTGTATGACGTAAAAAGTTGATAATCATCTTAATATAAATATTAACCTATATTATATATATATATACAGTATAACCTATATTATATAGATATATATATTATGCCGAAATCAGAATCGGATAGTTAATCACTCTAGAGGTGCGATCCGTAAACTAGTAGTTAATATAAATAAACTGTAGTTTATTGTAAAACTGTAGTTTTAAAATAAACTACAGTTTATTTATATGTACTGTAATTCACTCTAACATACGGTAAACAGTTCAATTTAATTAATCACAAAAAAACAAAAATTGAAAATTTTCACCATATGTGTACGTTGTTCTCTAGCTATAAAAAATATAAATTGAATATCTAAAAATTTATCATAAAAAAAAAACTTTTTTTTGTAAACTATTGATGATCTGGTCTAGAACTGATATTAATAGGGATATGCTGGTGCGTGAACCAATGGTCTTTTTAATATAAGGATAGTGATTTAGACTTCTGGTCAGTGTTAAAAATTCCGCACAATTATGCTGTACAAAAAAATTTATTTATTTGCACAGCCCATTGTTAATTTTGTTCAAATAACAATACGTGCACAACAAATAATGTTTAACACGGCTTCTGGTCCTATGTTAATAATATTAGTTGTCCCGGACTAATCTAGACCAGAATCGAATTTGATGATTACAAATTTATTAAGTCAACGAAATTTTACAAGTGGTCGTCACTTTTTGAATAGTGATTTTTTGAAATTTTTTGATTACCGCATTGAAATGTACAACTTGGGTAGGGTTTGCCAACTACTATCCCATTTGTACATTCAAAACTCCATTGACTCTATTGCAAACATTTTCTAGAAATGTACAACCTGGGCAGGGTTTGCCAACTACTATCCCATTTGTCCATTCAAAACTCCATTGACTCTATTGCAAACATTTTCTAGAAGCGTTGTTGCTCTACAATACGGTACCAGAGCCTTGTAAGTGATAATACATTTATTATCAGACATAATTTTTATTATCTAAACTAAAATTAAGTCTCGAACAATCCGGATTCAGATCACCAGTTCACTGGTTCTATCTTTATATCGATAACAGAAATTAGCATAGGATAGCGATATATCGCAATTTAAAATTTGACTTGTAGTAAAATTTGTATATATAACACATATAAAATACATACTTAAGAGTTAGACGTATTAAAGCTACATTAATTTTAAGATATTAAAAGATTAGGATCTTATTTAACATTTTATTGATACCTATAAAAATTTTAGAGTATATAATTAAACTATTTATTTACTTTTCTGATTTATATGATTGTCTAATTAATTTATTAAAAATTATATACTTTGGAATGTAGCGGTTGCTGGTTAAAATTGAATTTAATCTAATTTCTAATTTCTTGGATACCTAAATGGTGTACATAAATTTATGATTTCCTCGATCACTATCGCTATATCATGAGAAATTTACTATATTTCCCAGATTTCCAGAGCTTTCAAGACTCGTTACCCTATACCAATCGGGGCAATTTTAATTGTGAAATGAAGCCACGGAATTGGTCAAATATTATTATTATTTTATTTTTTAGCCATTCACTGAATCTAGAATTTAAAAAAACGTCATTTGCATTTTTCTCTTTAATGTATGTAAATGATGCTGACAATTTTTAATTTTGTGACCAAATTCATTGATGATTAACCAAATTTTTTTTACGTATTCTTCAAAAATTAGTACGTACTGCACGTACCATATAATACGCAATGGATATATCCATGTGTATATACATATGCATGTACAGTACGTACGTAATTTAAAGTTTTTGTTACATGATGTCGAGAACAATTTTTATTGAATTCATTTTTTTGGTGCAATACAATTGTGAATCATGGTCAAAACCATTTCAATCGATTTATTAAAATTTTAATTTCTGATGATAATTGAAAAGATTTCATTCATGCATCAAATAAGAGAACCCTGTAATTCTTTTAAAATATCTACACAAGCTTTCAATGTGACTTTGTTCCATTGAAATATTCAATAATAACGAATCTAGAATTGCTACGCATCCATATTTGTGAATTACTTGAAATAGATTTACTATATATATAAAAAGAGAATGTTTTTTTTTGCACTTTGCCGAGATTTCCTTTAGGCTTTCAACAATTGGATAAAATGGCAGACCAAACTCAAAATCAAAGTTACGTTAATTTAGTCCAACTTATTGAAGAATATCCTCATATTAATTTTCAAAACCAGACATTTCAACCAACTTGTTGTCCTTCATATTAATTATATAAATCAAGTTATACACATCTACCAACGCAGTATTCGTATCAAAATCGCTCCAAAAAATCCCGTCTTAAACAACGGATCAACCAACGTCAGCGTCCTCGATCTCGACAAAGTCCAAATTCGAATCTCTCAAACAATATATCTGACTCAATATCACAAATACAGCTACCTATGTTTGACTACTTACAAAAAACTAATTATCATGAAAATTCAGACCTTTCCTTACACGAAATTGGACATTGTTTGAATGTTCAACCTTCATTTCATCAGCAAAATTCAAATAATCCTATGTTTAATAATAATTATCAATCTCTTCATGAATATAAACTTCCGCCTGATGTCTATGTCGACATGTTAACTTTCGGTCACAACCAAATAAATATGCCATTAAATATTGTTGACCATAATATGATGGAAAATAATATTAATCCTACTATGGCAACTACTACTACCTCGGATTATGATCATATTCATAACTTTATTAATACTGTTCCTTTGAATGTAAACACCTCGTTTTTGTCATCTCCGTCAGATTTATTATATCCGCCTAATAATTATGTTTTTATTGATGAACCAACTACTGATTTATCGCAAGTTATTTCATCTGATTCTCAACAAATTCATTTTAATAAAGTAGCGTCAATTAATAATGATTTTCAAATGTTTAATTATGATTCATCTTATGAGAATATTCATTTAATTTAAGACCTTTAGTTATTCAATTTTTATATCTCTTTTAATAACTGTGATGCTTTTTATTCAATATGCTTTATTTTAATTCTTTCAAATTTATAATTCTTACTACTGTAATTTATTTTTATATAACTTTGTTATTCTTGTTTTTTTTTTTTTTAATTTTTCAAACCTTATTATTATTTTTAGACTATTGTTATTTTCACTCGGGTGATATCACCTATTTATATGTAAAACCAATCATCAGATCGCAGGATCTCGTGAAACAAAAATAAAGAAAAATTAAAAAATATTACAAGATTTTTATTATGAAAAACTAGCTTTGGACTATTAAGTAAAAGTTTTTTAGCACGTAATTTTGCATATATATTATCTTCTAACATCTAACCTCTAAAAGTTTATTTTATTTCATATTATCAGGTTGTCAAAAGAAAAGTTATTAAGTTATATATTATTTTTGTATATAGATATTAGTTGGTTTATAATTGTAAAATTTAGAGTTTTTCTTTAATCTGAAAGAATAATTTTTTTTATTAGAACAAGTTGTTAAATTTTAGTTATCTATTTTTTTATACAGAATAGTGTAAAGTATATTTGAGTTGAAGCATCTATTAATATTGTTACTGTTTATTAAAAGAAATAGTTTATTAAGTATTAGTATATTAAGTAGTTAAAGATTTGTAAAAATATTGTTATTTGTATTAATTAATAGATGTAGTATATGTTTAATATTTCTAATAAGAGTATTTGAAAGTTAGTTTTTTTTTTTAAAACAAAAAAACAGAATTAAAAAAAATATTCAATAGCTAGTAATAGAAATTTTTGTTTTATTTTTAAGATGACTTATATTGCTAAAAGAATTTTATTAGTTTGATATATAAGATCATATATAAGTAATCTTTTATAATTTGTAATTACATAAATAATATACAACAAGCCATAGATACAACTTTAGTTTTTATCTATTTTAAATAGTCTGCTGTATAGATAAATTATTCAGCAGATACTATGTAAATACTAACGGAAAAAATTTCATATTATTGCCGCAGGTTAATATTAAAATCATCTGACAAATTCTAGGTTATTTTCAGTGTTAGCTTGATCGGACCGGTTTGACCATTTGACCAGACCAATTTGACTAATTTGACCAGTCTAGTCAAAGGATTTGTACTGGTCAAATTGGTCAAATGATTATTATAAAATATATATTATATTTAAAATAAACTTGTCTAATTTGACTAGTTTAACTAATTTGACTGATTTGACCAATTCGACCAGACTAATTTAACCAGCAAATTTTTGGTTGACCACTAATTTGCTCAACACTAGTTATTTTAATATAAAACCTGTGGCATAATATCAATTTTTTCTGCAAGTATATATATCATACCTGCTGAATAAACTAGTTATCTAGCATGATAGTGACGAATACAATATCAACAGAATAATAACAACACACATGGCCTTTGGCTACATGCTTTTGTTATTATTCTGCTAATAACTGTGTATTCGTCAAATCATATCAAATAACAAAAAATTACTTGATTAGTTCTATATTAACTATTATATCTATAACCTATTTATAAATTATTTATTTAAATACTTTGTTTAATTAACTTTTACTATTACAAACTAATATTATTAGAATATCTAACTATTTAAGCTAGCTAGCTTGTTGTAGATCTATTTATCTACTTCAGTTTAGGTTCTTTTAAGTTATATTATATTTAATATATTATCTCTTAATTTGTAATACAGGCAAATTTGCCTGTGTTTATTTTTAATTTTTGTAATTTTTAAAATAAAACTTTAAATATTAACTTTAAATATATACTTTCTAAATAAAATATATTTTTTAGTATTTATTTTAACAACTTTGTT